CTACTAATGAAATTAAAAGGGATCTGTCTTGTATTTTTTCTCTCTAATCCCCCTTCCCTCCTGGTATCTCTTCTTTTCCATACCAGGGTGTGAATCTTTACAAAGTGATGGAAGCCGGTGACTATATTTGCAAAGCTGTGAATAAAACCACGAACTCTAAAGTAGCACGAGCCTCCTTCAGTGTTTGAGTTGGATGGATTTATGACTTAAGGTTGAGAAGATCAATTTCAGCTACATATACATGCTCACCTAAAAATCATTAATGTCAACTTGTTCTGAAATGTGAAGTAAGAGGAGGGGGGCAAGAGATATTCTTCAAAAAGATTATAACTGAATAGATTATGAAGTCTACAGAAAGCAATCCCAGTCACCAGGTAAATTGCAAGCTGAGAATAAATAATGAAGCTTGTAGTCATACTTTTGAACTTAGAAAAAAAGTCTCTTTTGCTCTCATAGAAATAACTTTTTAATTTAGTAGACAGGAAAATTGACTTCAGATTTTGCTAAGTATCAGATACTGTGTTAATACTTAATCAAGCAGGCTTAGCACAGTGTACATATTGTCAGTAGTTTATGAGCTCCTGCAGAGTGTGTGGCCTCAATATTATGTGTTATGCCTCTGGATCTCAACTTCTCATTTGCCAAGTCAGTTAAGTTATAGACCAAGAGCCAAATCTCCATCTGACCCTACATAATTTTTAGCAATACAACTTTTATATTTCAAGTATGGCTAACATCTGTTAACTATTTCATTGACTTCGTCTTGTTCCAAGAGGCTGTGGTCGATGGCAAGATGCCATATCCTGGAAACACATTACGACCTCCCATGTTTGTTACATGCATCCAGTTTACCATACTTTACCTTTCATCAGTTATAGTAAAAACCAGCAGGGTGTTACTTAACTGTTGAGAAAGTATAAGGCATAACTTTTGTCCTGATGTCTAAATAGCAGTGATGGGAACGTGTATCATAACCTATTTAATAATCTATTAATTTTTAGATTACTTCCAAATTGCCTAAGGAAATACCATTGTGATCCTAAGAATATTAAGATAGTTCTTAATTCATGAAATAGCTGTTTTCCATGATTCATGGTGCTTTGATTATATCACATTATTTTTGTTGATTTTTTTAATGGTCATTTTTGAAGGCAAAGTGACTGAATTTTTTTCTGTTGTACTAGAAAGCATTGCCAGATATAGCAAAAATTAATATATCAAAGATTGAGATGAGCAGGAGAACTATGTCAAGAAAAAATATTTCTGTAA